GGGACCCCTCCGAGGGCCGGGTGCGCTGACCGGCAGGGTCTTCGCCTCAGCTCTGAGGCCGTCGCCTCTCCAGCGGTGTCCCGGGTGGGTGTTGGTGGCCAGGCGCTGTCAGCTGCTCTGCTCGGTCGTCCCTCGGGAAGGGGCCCTGTCTGTGGGATTTTCAGGTAGCGTGTAAGCAGTTTTAACCTCCCTTGAACGGTGCGCATTGCTGCATGCCAGCCCTTGATGTGTGATGGGTTTCCTCTTGGAAAGAAATGTTCCTTTTTCTTCTCTAGTTCTTCAGAGCGCTGAAAAATGTCAGGTTTTCTTGAGAGCTTGAGGTGCTCGGAGTGTGTTGACTGGGGAGAGAAACGAAACACGATCGCTTCTGTTGCTGCGGGAGTGCTGGTATGTACTGCTTCTCTTACGCTGCTTTTGGGCTTTTTAGATGCCGTCAGCAGTTGATGAGCTAAAAATTTACTTCCGTTTGGAAGTAGAAGGAAGAACAGGGATACATTGTCCTTGCATGAAGCAGCAGAGTTAAAGACAAAAGTTGTTTCAGGTGCTTGCATCCATGTGTTTCTTAAGCTTTCCAGCTTGTACCCATGTAATAACTATCAGAGTTAGTAAACCTCTGGCTTTGCATTTAACTTTGTTCCTAGGCCAATAGCAAAACTAGTTACGCTATCAGTTGTCTCTGGGTTGAAGACCGTAAGAATGCTTTTATTTATCAACACTATTTTTCTCGGCTTGTGTCCATATTTTAAGCTATTGTGCTTTTTCTTTTTTTTTTAATAGTTTTTTACAGGTTGGTGGATAATCATAGATGCAGCTGTAAAATACCCTAAAGTGGAAGACTTCAACCATTCATACCATGCTTGTGGGGTTATAGCCACTATTGCATTCCTAATGTAAGTGTAATTTCTTGATCAGAGCTAACACTCCTAGAACTTATTTTGTGCAATTAAGAACACAATCTTTAAATGGAGAGGTGACTAAGAATAACAAATCAAGCTACTATCTGAGTATCTCTAATAATCTTTCTTATATTTGTTGATATTTACAGTAAGGAACTGTTTTTTTTTTTCAATTAAGTGTGTTATACAGCTCCTAAGTCTTTCCTTGGAGAAATGCTTTTCAAGTTTTAGTCTTGTCCCCCTGTTAAAAAAAAAATTCAAGAAATACATCATCATCCTTTTTCTATAGGTTTCTGAGAAGTTTCTGTTGTTTTGTAAACACTTCTTTCTTTACCTATGTTTACCCAGTTTTATCCTGTTTTGCTCATGCAGGATCAATGCGGTGTCTAACGGACAAGTGCGGGGTGACAGTTACAGTGAAGGCTGCCTAGGACAAACAGGTACGGTGGTGTAGGCTGTTGTACAGCGATAGATCTGTGAAGCCATTAAGTCTTGGAAGACTTGTAAGAACTGTCCCAGTGTGCATGTTGTGCAACTGTGCATCGCTCTGGTGCGTGACAGAAGGTGCTCTGAAACAAAAGCATGCTGAAGGTCACCAGTCTCTGTACTCGGATGCAAAACATCCCTACGTCTTTTTCAAGGTGCTCGGATCTGGCTGTTCATTGGGTTTATGATGGCTTTTGGATCTCTGATTGCTTCCATGTGGATCCTTTTTGGAGGCTATGTTGTTAAAGGTAAGATAGAGCATGGGAGGTCACCTGATCCGTTTTTGAAAGTTTGAAGTGGTATGGTTTAGTGGTCATGGTGGTGTTGGGTTGATGGTTGGGCATGATGATCTTAAAGGTCTTTTCCAACCTTAATGATTCTGTGAAGTATTTGAAATGACTATTGAATTTTAGAACTTATTTTTAGATAGCTTCTAGGCAGGTCCAATTTTAATATTTTGGTTCCCTACGCACCACTGTTCCATGCTGTCTACTATTAATGGGGTGGATTTTATCTACTTCTAAATCACAGACTTCCAACTAGCCTCAGTAGAAACACAGTCTTGGTCAACTGGGAACTGTACTGACATAATTAAACTGCTGCAGTTGTATGGGAATAATTCCCTGGGTAAGCACTTATTCCCAGAATAAAAATTACTGATTTTGTGCAAATTGCTCCCAAAGCTGATATGCTAAATTAGCAAAAAGGACAAAATTAATTCAAATTGCCTATTTAAATTCATACCTTAACATGTACCACAGTAACTTTTTGTGAAGGCAGGTCTTGAGAAAGACATGAAAAATGCAGTATTAATCTTTGTTTTTTTAAAAGGAAGTAAGGTCATTTAAGTAAATGTAAAGATACTACTTGTACCTGGAGCTGAAGTGAATTTCAGACTAGTCAGGGCACATTGGTGGTTTTGTTTAATTTACATTGTTGTCAGCTTTGGTCTTAATTCACAGGGGATTTTCAAGGAAACACCTAGGTGCAGTAGTTGCATAGTAGTGCTAATGCGCACTCCCATGTTGTATATTGTCAGTATATTTGAATATGTATGTATATATACTTACACACACATGCATTCCAAACTGGATGCGCAGTCCTGTGTGATAATTACATTCTGTACAAGCATTGCATCTGAGATGCACGTTTTGGGTTAGAGAACAGGGGAGGCTTCTTTCATTTGGAAAACGAAATGATTTGAGGGGCACAAAAGTCACTTAACTTTCCAGTGGGGTGAGGCTTACGCTTGTCTTCTCTTTCACACAACTGAGCAACAAAGTTTGGAGGGGACAGTCTTGTTAGGGAGCAAAAGGGGTCTACGAGCTGCATCATGGTGTCTGAATTTCCCGTGAGAACAATCTGGTTTAGACTTGAGCACTAAGAGTATCTAGTCAGGGATCCTACATGGTCATGGATCCCTCTGTCAAACTCAGCTCCTTTAGTGCATAGACTCCAAATGAAACTGGTTATCTTTGCTAACATAGTGCAGGTTAGTGTTTCTGAAATGTCAGAGATGGGACAGTCTTGAAAACGACTTCCAAAAAAACTGATGGAGATCTTTTTTTTTCTTTTGTTAGAAAAACCAGTAGTATACCCAGGAATAGCTGTGTTTTTCCAGAATGCATTCATCTTTTTTGGGTAAGATTATCTTCATTTGTTTATTTCTTATCTAATTCCGTTTTAATGATAAAAACTGAAACTTGCTGTAATCTTTTTTTTTTCCTTAAGCCCTGTTTTGTGACTAGACATGGGTGAATAAACTGCTGGTAAAGGCAGTAGATCTCTGGGATCTGTCTGGATAGGTTTTGCTGCAAGACCAGGAACTGGACTTAGAAATACTACAACTTGCTCCCCAAAATCATGTATTTAAAATACAAGGTATTTGCTTTACTCCATTATATGCTCTTGTCCGTTTATTCTGTTTTAAATAGAGGACTCGTCTTCAAATTTGGTCGCACGGAAGATTTGTGGCAATGAACACACCTGTGGAAGCGCATTGGCCATGCTGGTTTTTTAACTGCACACTCCCAAAATTTTGTAAAACCATTTTGTAAACCATGACCTTCAATTGTGTCTAAAGGTAAAACAAGAAAAACAAAAATCATAGCACTAAAAATTCTGGTTCTGTTCTGCTCCTTTTTTTTTACTCTCATATGTTGATTTAAATGTTGTAATGTTTTTGACAAATGTAAAATTGCTACCAGTAACAACAGAAGTCACTTTTATGATACGATGTTTGCTACAAGTATAGTGGAAAATGGATGCATTTAACCAGCTATTTCTATGATGTTATTTACAATCCAAGACTTACTAATAATGCTTTAAACCAACTTTTTAACATGTATTTATTAAATATTTCCTGTATCTGGACAATATAACCATTTCTTCAATTTCGAAACTTACTGGTGTGTAGCTTTTCTTGCACAATACAGAACTATGCTGCTTTGGGATTATTTTTCCCCCCCTCCCTGAATGTTTACTTTATCTTATGACAATAATGAGGAAGTCTCTGGTGAGTAACAACTTACTGTTGCTCTGACATCGTAGAGGCACAAGTACAACTTATGTAGTGGCTCTAGATGGAAGCAGCTCATCCACAAAGCTTGCTGTAAACTATTTTCTAATGGCTGTAAAACAAAGGAAGATAACTCTTCAGAGCAGGGGCGGGCCCTAGCAGGGCAAGTTGTGATCCTGTAGCACACTCACCTGAATGGTGAGAGCGCTCTTCCTGTATCTGCCCCTTCCTATACATTCACCTAGGCTGGTTGCTGAAGAAATCAATGATAAGAGAAATGTGGGGAAAAGGGAGGGAATAAAATACTGTTCCTTAAAAGCACTACGGCTAGAGAACAGAAGAAGCCGTTATGTTTGGTTGGTTACTAGAAAGTTAAGCAAGTGAGGTGCACAAATTGAGCCTGGGTTAGACTATTACACAGGAGTAAGTAGTGTGTTAACTGTGCGATGTGTGTAAGTGTGTATCCAGGCTGAATGTTCCCATCCTAGCAGAAGCTGTGGGCAGCTGAAACACTCAGCAGATCACTGGCTATTTTGTGGCCCTTCCTCTGCAAGTAATCTTGCATTACTTGAAACCCGTCTCACACTTCTTTACCTATAGTGATCTAATGAATGGATTGAGGTCAGCATGCATGACTGCAGTGAGCATCAAAGAACTCCTATTCTGTCTTCAATGTTACATTTTTCCTCGTTACTTCATTTTTAAGCAAGTGTGCTGAATAAACAAACACAATCAAATTTTGACCTTTTTATTATGTAAGCATTTCTGAAAGACTTTTTCTGTCAACTATTTTGAAACAAAGAAACACTGAGGATCACAATCCATTTCAAAACCAGGGTTCATTTGCACAGAATCGTCTGCTCAATCAGGCCCTACCTCAGGCACCAAAGCCCCCTGCTTGCCTCAGGGTAAAACAGCTCAACATAAAGACACTGCAGAAATGGGGTCTTTGCCTTGGTACCAAGGACTATCCCCTCGTATCCGGTTGTCCATGCCTTCAGGGCAGCCAAGAGCCTTTTGGGCAGCTGACCCTGTGGTGGTGCAGACTGTCGCTGCACAGACAGGCTGTTGGGAGGTGTACTGCCAAATCTTAAATACAAGTAACACCACTGATTTCAGGGACACCATCCACAAGCAGAACAAATTAACTTCTTGCCATTCGAACTTCCACATAGCTAGCCTGAGCCAAGTAATTCTATATTTTTCTTTAAGCAGTCAGATAAACTCTTGAGTTCAGTCTGCCAAGATGCAGAGTTCTGGCCCCAATCCAGCTCACTCAACAAATCCTTGCTCAACAAGGCCTTCCACAGAATTAATTTAGCTTAAAAACAAGTACCTTAATGCTTCACTAGATGAGTATGTACTCCTTGAAAAAATATACTTTAAAATACATATTTTGGCTTTTAAACTTGTGAGCTAAAAATAGTTTAAAGTTTCCAAGCATTTTGATTGATAAGCCATTACAGCAATGAACACAGCCAACCTTTTTGTACATATCCTACAAAAAGTACTTAAGGTAAGACCAACAAAGCAGAAAAGCTAAATACATTGTAAGTTTGCATCTCTAAATTTACACTCTGTATCTTTCAAGAACAACTAGAACAGTTTATTACTAATTTTTTGTGTGTCCTTTGGGATGGCTCTTTTGACCCTGAGAATTGATAACTGAAGTGCTCTTTCAGCCCATCATAGCTATTCATTTTCTCTAGTGACAAATAGGAAAATCTTATCTTGGTCAATTCTGTCATCTGGGTTCCTCCATTCAAAATCCAACAGCCAAATGAGGAAACTGTGAAGACAAACATTCTTGCATCAGAATATTTTATGCATCAAATCATCATATGAAAAAGGCACTGGAAAACCTTATTAGAAGCTTATTTTCACCATTTCTTTTCTCTGTAATTCAGATATAGCATTGCATCCAGCACCTCAAGGTACCTGTGTTTGTACATCAGACTGAATAGCCACTCTGCCCTGTAAAGGCCAAGAGGCTTGGTCTGTTTTCATAAAAAGCACCTTTCACTCTATTCCCTGGCTTCTAAAAATCCCTCTCTTAGATGCTGCTCAAGTCTCCTCAGGGATTGTGTATGAAGCACAGAGGCCAGGGCTGTCAATCCCAGAGGACATCTGAGCACCACAGATTACATGTTACATCAAACAAGACCATTACAGATTAAGCCCTGTGCCCACTGACGGCTCTGCCAGTCCCAGCTGAAGACTACACGCCTTTATAATGTTCAGGCTGTGAATCAACTTTGGTACGAGTTCAACCATTTCAGGATGGCAAATGTTCAAAATGCCCTGTGAAATGGAATTATCCCCCCCCCGCTTTTTTTTTTATAATTGGGATACCTAGAGTTCTTCATCAAGGTCAAAGTGCCACACAGTTAATTTTACACTGAAACTTACCTCCCAATAAAACTGGTCTTCAAAATACTTTGATACAGGGATGGTCTTAAACAGTTTGCAGTTTAAGATTAAACCTATTTGTAAAAACATATATATCCAATATAAATACATCAGGGAAAGGGGAAGATTGTGTGTAACTGGAGGTTTCTTAGTAACCCGCATCCAAATGTAACATAGATCAAAATACAAATTCAGAACTAAATGCTTCAGCAGAGCCTCTTGTCTCAAGTTGACTTTAAATACAAAGAGAGAAGCTTGCCAGGATCAACACTTTCTGCTATTAAACATTAATTACTCTAGGTAAAACCCTATTAAACAGTCTGCCAGATTCTAAAAATACATCAAAACACACTAACTTCTTGCATGAAAAATGCCTGTGTACTTAAAGCAATCGGGCTTACCAGCACTGGTAGCTTGGGATTTCAGATGAAAACATCTAGATTTTTAAACAACTGGTTAAACACTGAATGTTTGATTATTTTAGATTTTTTTTTTTTTTAATTTGCTTGATTAGCTCAACTTCTTAATTAGACTTATGGTAATGTAAAGGTTTCAGATAAATTAAAGCACAATTTTAGAGTATATTTCACAGCAATTTTCATCTGCCATTTCTCTTTTATTCAAGACAGAATTAACAACTACAGAAAAACTGCAGTTGCCATAAACCAGACAGAAACATCACATGAGTAACACGAGCCCTGATGATCCCAAACTACCAGTGATCAAAGACCTGGCGCTTGGCTGATGCAAGCAAGCTACTGACGTTAGCGAAACTTTGCAGATTTATACCAACCGACTTAAAAAGTGAGAAGCTCTAGATAGCTTTTTTCTGTCACTAAGACAATACCCAAATGTAAAAATATTTTCATCCTCACACATCTCTTGCCTGAAATTTGAAGGCAGTGCTTAAGCATCTGTTAAAACAAATGTCACCAATGAAAGAATGGTGCTACTAGGTTAGTTTTGTTGAATATATCTCTTCTTCAAAAAGACTGGCTTTGAAGAGTCCCTGGCATTCATATTTCCCATGGCTTCTTCTACAAGTAATTTACTCACAGAAACATACTTCAGAGCCCCAATTAAAATGGCCTCTTTCTGCAAAGAGTTGCACTGACATGACAGCAGGTTCAACAGGATGACATATCCCTTGCCCCGAGAAAATGAGGACTATTATTACTGAAATATGTTTTTCAATACTGACCTGTAATAAAACCTGTTATCAAGGCAACACTGATGGTCAGGCAGAAGGCACCGATGTGAATCATGACCAAATAACCCACTCTGAAAAGCAGAATAAATGCTTCACCTTTTACAGTTGTTGAATTTAGTTTTAAGACTGTGAATGAATCTGTATCAACACGGCGTTTTACATCAAAACCTCTCATAAAAATTCTGTTATTCTTGAACCTCTCTGCAGCTGCAGTTAGATGTTTGAAGAGATCCTATCAGAAGCCCAATACAGACCTCAGAGGACATATTTTGCCCTTAGAAACCATCATTGTGGTACTAAAACTTCATTAAATTTGTTTGTTTCGATAAGGACATGACAGTAAGTATAAGGCCCTTATGCTGCACTGTGATTCATTCCTGCGTAAACTGAGAAAATCCAAGAACTTTTGCACGACTGACATGAGCTTGATTTGCAAAAATGAGATGCCAGTGCCAGGTCAAAATAGCCTATGGAGAATACCCTTGACTGAGCCCTTCAGCTTTTGCAGGGTATCTCCCCAAGCCTATTTTCCATTTCAGTGTTCAGACTGGCTTTACTCCAAACTGGCATTCGTGCCCCCGACTTGGAGTTAAAGCCTCATTTGAAGAGCAATGCTGATTTCTGCCCCCTCCCTGTATTAACACACAAAGCTCCCCCAAACACATCACAAAAGCCAAAATGAGTCTTGGAAGGATGCATATCCCCAGTCTTCATCTACTATGTCTATTTAACATCAAATAAAAAGGGAGACAGAAAACAGGACCAAAAGCTAATATTAAAGTTTTAATCCAAAAGCTGCTCAACACGGAAAGTCTTTTCTACTGACTTTTTTGGACTTCAGAGATTATTTTAGGTTATCTGGTATAAAATGATTTATCTGTGATGACATTCAGGCTTTCTGTATGTATAAGAACTCTTCTCAGGGCACACTACAATAATGAATAGCTAAGCTTCTTACTTAATAGCAAGAATTT